TTTTTTTTTTTTTTTTTTTTTTTTTTTTTTTTTTTTTTTTTTTTTTTTTTTTTTTTCTCAACCAGAAGAAGATTCACACAATTAGCTTCTGACAACAATGACCTGACAGTGATTTCATGGCTCTCAGACACCAAAAGGCTCAGAAGCTGATAAATTTCTTTTCCTTCAAGCTCTCAACAGTTTCCTTCAGGCTTTCCTCAAGAGGAATGAATTCAATGCCTAAGCCCTTTGCTTTCTCAACCGAGACCTGATATGTCGGTACTTGCGGCTTGTCATCAGCACACCTGCAGTTGGAAATATAGCTTGAATCACAGTTGAAATCGAGTATAAATATGTGAAGCTTCATGAAGTACTTGGTAGATTTTTTTGTTTATGCAAAGTACTTGTAGATTGAAGGTTCATAGTTGGTGAAATACTATAAAAACAATTGTAGAATCTTCCATTCAGAGTAAAAGTTAGAGAACCTACTTTTGTCCGGATTTCTAAAAGAATATTAATAATAAATGTATGCTATAAATCAAAACCAAAGCTAAAAAATGAAGTTTGCAAATGAATTAGTATTTGGAAAGGAATTAAGATTAAGAAACCTCGACATGGAACGAGGCTTTGAAAATTAGAAAACTGTCGTTTTTTTTAATTGTCGCTTGGGATAGGGGTGGATGAGGAAGACTTACTTGTCAGGAAGTTGCAATGAAGGGTAGAGATCATGTAAAATCTTGACAATTCCTGAATAGTGAATAACTTTCTCCACCAAACAGTATCTTCCACTGGCTGATGGGATCTCATAGGCTAGAATGTGTGCATTTGCAACATCTTTGACATTAACCCATCCAAATGTGGAGTTCTGAAAAGTTTCTGCTCCTGCTTCAAATTAAAACCACGTAAAGCATTAAGCACCAAGGAGACATTTTTTCAAACTACGTGACAAGATCCAACACAATGTATGTGTTCGTTGTTACGAAGCACTTGACCTTAAAGACAAACAGCTCGGTTAAAGGGAAAATGTTTTGAGAAGTATAGACAGTGGAACAACCAAACAAGTACCAGATATTAATTTCAAAATAGCTTCTGCACTAGTATTCAATGTTGGCTGCAATAATGGACCGATAACCATTGCAGGGTTTATGGTAACCATGTCAATTCCCTTCTCTCTTACAAAATTCCATGCTGCCTCCTCAGCTAAAGTTTTGGACAGCACATACCAAAGCTGAAATCCACAAGGAAACAGAGGATATAATTTATCTCCTCGATATCATAACTCAGTAAGCTCTAGGAAATTAAAGATGCATGTTGAATTTCAAATAACGTGCACGCATCAAGTCGTTTGTTGGGCTACTCTTTCTCTATCCGCATGCCCACAAAACTGAATGAAGTACATCTAACCATCTCAGGATACTTTTTCATTCTTTGCTGTCTTCAGGCAATTTTATTAGTTTGTGAAAACATAACATTAAGCAAATTTCCTGAAATTACCAATGTTCTTTATATTCATTAAGAAGACAATCCTAGGATGAAAGGCACACAAAATTCCATACAACATACAATCTACTTTACAGCTCATATAATCACAAGAAAATAGTAAAGTAAATGGTACCTTAAGTGTAGTTTTGTCACAAGTCAACAGATGATTTCTGAAGAAAGTTTTAAATAATTGTGTGACCTCGCACAGTAAGCTTTAGCTTTTTAACAAGCCATGCTCATTTCTACACACTTCTTTCTTTTTTTTTTTTTTTTTTTTTTTGTTTGTGCGTGTCTTTATACCAAGGAAGCCAGGAACGTAAAAATCAAAGAAACGGATACCTTCAGTTCCTTGCAAATCTCAGGATCAGTAAACCAAGTTTCATCAACTACTGTATCAGGATTACGTGGCTGTCGATTATAAGCAACCGCAGCCATCGAAGATGTCAAAACAACCCGCTTGACAGACGATGCTTTTGCAACTGAATTAAGAACATTCAGTGTTCCTTTCAATGCAGGATCAATAAGTTCAGCCTGAAAACAATTATCTGATTAAAAGGCTAAAATTACATTTTTCATCATGGAAGATTTCATGATTACTAAGGAGCAGCCAAACTAGCATATACTTCTAACTTGTAAACTAGCTAAAATTTGCTGGTTCTATCTTCCATGAACTTAAAATTAGTGAAACAGAGTTCCAGACAATCACATAGAAGGGAAAGTTAACAGATTCTAGAACCAGAAATCAACAAGAGCAACTGAACAATAAACAAAGTCTTCTTGCTTCTATAATGAATAAAAAAAATTTGGGGGTTCTTCTTCCATAAGATGATAATCCCTTGCTATATGTTAATCCACCATTCTTCAAAGAGGTTTCATCTCTCAACTAAAATGAATATTAATTAGTATTATATTTGTACCTCATATACAATCTGAACCTCATATTACTGATGATTCTTTTGTTCCACCGACTGATAATCAAGCAAAGTAATTGTGCAGCTACTGCTTTTCCTAGTTCTACTCCTGATTTTGAGCCTAGTTTCTGTACTCAAGCTTCTAAACACTCGGATAGCAAAATGCAATGGCAGAAGAATATGCCGCTCTTTTGAAACAGGGTAGGTGTTTCGCACCAGGTTTTGTAATCTTTTTAGGTACTAATCCTATTTCTTGGGCTGCTAAGAAGCAATCCACTGTTTCTAGGGGTTCTACTGAGGCTAAATACCGTGCACTAGCTAGCACGGCTGCAAACCTCTTTTGGCCTCGACCGATCCTCAAAGATTTACATATTTATAGTGCCTCTCCACCTCGTATCTTGTGTGGTAACAAGTCATCCATTCAGCTAGCTCATAATCCAGTTTTTCATGGACATATGAAGCATGTCTAAGCGTGCTTTCATTATGTTCGTGATCGTGTTACTCGCAATGATATGTGAATGACTTCATCATCAACACAGTAATTATCATAAACATATCTAACACAATACAATAACTCTGAGATTTTCTAAACTCAATCCATAATTAATACCTGAGGATCTGAAACATTGTGAAAGAAGGGAGAAGCAGTATGGAAAACCCCTTCACAACCCTCAACAGCAGAATCAAAGGAACCTTCCTCTAGGAGGTTGGCTTTAAACAGATGAAGCCTCTCAGCAGCTCCATCCAGTGCGAGAAGATGCGCAGTTTTGATTGGATCAGCTATGGGACAAAACGAAAACCAATCAACAAACAAGCCGGAAAACAGTAGGAAATATGCAATAAAATTACTACGGAACACAATATTCTCAAGAGAGGTTGTCAATTTCCACATGCATTCGTTGGGGATGAGAAAGCTTCGACAATAAGAAGCAAAACTAAGAGAAACGAGAGAAACCTGGATCTCGAACACTGGCTTTGACGGTATAACCTCGTTGGAGAAGAAATTTAACAATCCAAGAAGCTATGTATCCAGAGGCGCCGGTGACGCAAACAGTCTTCGCTGCTCCGCCGCTCATTCTCTCCCTCTCTTGATTTTGGCGCACACCTTCTCTCTATTTCTTGATTATGAATGATGGAGTCGTGGCATCTCAGTTAACCCCATATATATACTTACTCTTTTTTTAATTTTCGATAAATAAATTAAATTTATAATTTAACTTTTTTTATTTTTCATAGGCGTTAGAATTATTATATAATTTTCTTTTTCTTTATAATTTTTAGCATTACATTTATTTATTTTTCAACTTGTATAAAATATATACTAATTATTGGAATAAATTTAAAAATCAAATTAAAATTTATTTGATCTGTTTTCCTTTTTAATATATGTAAAAAATATTTTAAATTATTAACTAAAAGTTTGAGCTTACAATTTCGGATGGAAATTAATTTTTCTCTTGAGAAATTAGACTATAGGATATAATTTATGAAGCGAGAATAAATGAATTTAGAAAAATTAGGGCCTATTAGTCTAATCATTTAAAGTAAAATAATTGAAGAGACTTTGAGCGATATTATATGTTGAACTACCTTTTAATATTATATGTTAGAATTGAGGAGACTTTGCTTCGTTCTCTTCTAGATCTCACAATCCACTCCTTAGGGGTCCAGCATCTCAAGTTCACATCTAGCATATATTGTCTATTTTGACTTGTTACATATTACCGTCATTCTCGAACGAATATGATGTTTTACTGTCATCAAGACCTCCACTTCTGGCAGCTATGCCAACAGCTCGAACGCCAACTTCGAGATCGAGAATATGAAGGTTGATATATAGTAGGCAAGGGCGACCAGAGTTGGTAGCAGCCGCCATGACAGTGGCAGCCTGCCATGAATCTCTCTGCTATGTCTTTCTCTGTTTTTTTTGCTTCATCATTGATCTAACACATGAACAAACACCATTTCAACTGCAAATTAAAACTTTGATCCGATCATGATTCTCTCTTACAAGTGAATCATCATTCACAATTCACACATTTATCTCCTACATATATGATGAAAGAATGCTTCTGTGATCTTCTGTTTTTGAACAGAAGAATTTCAACATCAAAGCCATGTTTGCAGAAAATAAGGAAAGAACTTTTATGTCTCTTTCTTTCTCTCTACAAGGCTATGAACTTGAAAGTCATCATTAATGGAGGTTGGCAACAAGATCCCAGAAAGTGTTCTCTGTCTACTTTCACAAATGGAAGCTCAAAATGGGAAATTCTCGATATTATCAAATGATGTGTAATAATATTAATAATTACCATAAAAAAAGAATAGCAGAAAACCCATCATAAATATATTTGTATATTCTTTCTTGCATTCTTCAAATATCAGTTGAATGAGTTCATCCTTTCACACCCTTCATCTCTACCTTAGCTACTAATAAGATTCAATGATCCTTCTCTGAATAACTTTAAGCTCAGATTGTTGAATCTTTCTCGTGAATATTGTCTCGATGCTTTTCTCCAATCGGTTCCCGCCTTCATCATCGCTACAAATTCTTCATAGCTTATGCATCCGTCCTACAAACACGAATAAAAAAAAGGGTTCTATATCAACATCTATGGAGGGGCTGAACTCGTTTCAGCTATTTCGGAACACAATGGCAATGCTGACCTTATCGGTGTCAACGTCGTGCATTATGGCACTGATGACATCCTCGCTATCCGTTTCGTCTTCATCATTTAGCACAGCTTGAAGCTCGTCAATCTCGATGAAACCACTCTGATTTAGATCAAAGAATGCAAAAGCTTTATGTAAGTGCTCGTCATTTGCCATTCTTCTGAGATGGATTGAAACTGCAACAAACTCTCCGTAGTTTAGAGTTCCATCATCATGAACTCCCGCCTGTTCAAGCAAAATTTGAGTCAATAACTGTGTTTAAGAGTTCCGATTATATAACAACCCAAGCCCACCGCTAACAAATATTTTCCGATTTGGCCCGTCCGTCAGCCGGAGAGGTTTCCACACCCTTATAAAGAATATTTCGTTCTCTTATCTAATCGATGTGAGATCTCACATATTACTACTTCTCAGGACAGACTGACAAGTGCAAGTTTCGTAAGATAAGACTAATCATGCTTCGTTTTTCGATTTCTTTCGAAAGATCATTGGCCTCTATATCTACACTTATGGAAGGATACTAAAGTACTACAAAACAGAGAATTTTACATACAGCTTCCATTAGTATCTGAAGATCTGTTTCTGGAATATGTTGTCCAAGCTTTTGCAATCCACTTCTCAGCTCCTCCAGATTTATCTTGCCCCTCTTCTCCACGTCCATCATATCGAATGCCTCCTTTATGCCAGCAACTTCCTCCACCGACAAATGCTCGGCGATCACCTGAGGACGATAATCAAATGAAATGTCATTGATAACTCAAGTAATCTATTCAAGAACTTCTGTGATTACCCTTAGAGCTCGTTTCTTGAACTTGTTCATGACAGAAAATTGCTTGAGCCTTGCTTTCACTGTCTCGCCTAATGGAACATTTGGAGCCCTCTTAGCATTTTGTAACCATGGATGGGCTGCACAAAGCGATGGTGATATTTCAGGTATTGTATGCAAATTCTGAACTACAAGAACTAGACCTCAGAATGATGCATGTGAAGCCCGCACACACGATATACCTAGAACTTCCTGGGCAGTAAGGCGTCGCCTGGGATCAGGATCAAGCATTTTTCTTACAAGATCCTTTGCATTTTCAGAGACTTTTGGCCACGGGTCTCTCCTGAAATCAATGACCGAGCGAATAATTGCCTGTGCTACACCCTGTTCAGTTTCTACATGAAAATTGGAATGCAACTCATGAGGAGGAAGTCTGAAAAAGAATAACAAAATCTACACTAATGGTGGGATGGATTCACTGTTATTTCCAGACATGAAGTGGCTGAAGAGAACAAAATTCAAACCTGCCCAAAAGGGTGGGATGCCACAGAGTAAAATATAGAGGATAACCCCAGCACTCCAAACATCAACTTCTGGACCATAATTCCTTTTCAGGACCTCTGGGGCCATGTAATAAGGACTTCCTACTATTTCATTGAATTGTTCACCTAATCAAATGGAAACATTAATGTTCATGACATGAACAATAAAAAGGTGTGGCAAGTGCAACTACACAAACAAAACAAGAATGCACAACAAAAACAATACGATAATGTGTGTAATAGCCCAAGCCCAAGCCCACCGCTAGCAGATATTGTCCGTTTTGGCCCATCACGTATCGCTGTCAGCCTCATGGTTCTAAAACTTGTCTGCTAGAGAGGTTTTCACACCCTTATAAAAAATGTTCCGTTCTCCTCTCCAATTGATGTAGGATCTCACAATGATATTGCCCTCTTTGGACTTTCCCTTTCGAGCTTCCTCTCAAAGGTTTTTAAAACACGTCTGGTAAGGAAGCCCAAAAAAGACAATATATGCTAGCGGTGTACTTAAGTTGTTATCATATGAGTCTCACATGTCAATTGAATACAATCCGTAATACCTGGTTTAAAAGTGATAGACAGTCCAAAATCAATTGCCTTCAATGGGGACGATTCCTTCTTATTTTCGAAAAGAAAATTCTCTGGTTTGAGATCACGATGCATCACTCCATGTTTATGACAAACCTATAACATAAAATGCATGTACTTCTTGAGAACAAAAGTGTCAAAATCAACATAAATATGGCAAGAGATTAGTACATGTTCAAACTAAACTCGCAAGAGATTAGTACATGTTTAAAAGCTAATCAACATTTTCTTTTCACCTGAACGACTTCAACGATTGTCCGCATAACAACAGCCGCTGCACGCTCTGTGTAATGTCCCCTTGCAACAATACGGTCAAACAACTCCCCGCCCTCACACAGTTTCATCACAATGTGAACTGCCTGATCATCCTCGTAAGTATCCTTCAGCGAAACAATATTCGAATGCTCAGGCAAAAGTTTCATGATCTGAACCTCTCTTCGCACGTCCTCAATATCAATAGCAGTCCTAAGTTTCTTCTTTGATATAGATTTACAAGCAAACTTTTCGCCTGTATTAGTATCCGTGCATAAATACGTTACACCAAATTCACCTCGGCCAAGCTCACGACCAAGATCATAATGAGCCAAAATGTCATGACCAGTTGGATTTTTCAACACCTGAAGCTTGCTACCACCACCATTCACATAGTTCCTGCCATCCTTGTTAGAAACTTTATTAGTCCTCTTCCTGTGCTTACCTTTAGGCTTAGCCGGAGTGTTAGTAGGAGTAGCACAACAATTACCCATCGCCAAGATCCAGAAATGTTTAAATGCTCCGACCTTTTAATGGATTTCAAACCCTATCAAACAAACATATTAAGTTAAGATCCAAAGCTTTTCTCAGAAACAATACGAACCAAGCTGAGAATCTGAGATAGATAATCAATACGATGATTTCATCCAAACACAAATCCAAAATCGCACAAGATGTCATAATCGGAATCAAGCACGCACTTGCTCCAAGGAATCATAAACAAAAAGAAAAGAAAAATTAACACAGAGATACCCATTCATGATCATAACAATCACAAAGGCCTAAAGATTTATTCGCATTGAAACCTAAAATCGCCAAGAAATCAGAAACCGACCTGGAAATTTTCGTTGAAATTCAGGAATCGCGACAACGTCGGGAGGAATAACCGGAGAAGTTAGCCGGGAGGAGAAATTGAAGTCGTTTGAATCTGAAATTTGAAGGAGAAAGATGAATCTCAAGAACGTGAATGAGGCATTGATTGATTGCTTGAGTTTCCGAATTCCCTTTCTCCTCCAAAATTTCTCTCCTCCCTTCCTGGATTCAACCAAGACGGAAGACAAAACGAGGCTCTTCTCCCCCACCTCCTTCCCTCCTTTTCAATCCACAAACTCCCTTTTTTTTTATAATTTAATTTGTAAGAAATTATTACTATAATCATTACATTTCAGAAAATATAATTTATCGAATATACAAGTCAACTAAATGTTATTTTCGAGTAATTCACGGTCTAATTTTAACCAAACAATTTGAGAATTGAATCATGACTGTTCTTGTAATTTAAGATTAGTTTTTTCTTTACGTTTTTTTTATGTGGCCAGTAATAAAATTACAAGAATTTAATTACAACCACTTAATTTCTATAACAAAAATGTACAGAATTCTCATTTAAGAATAAAACTAGCTAAATTATAAAAGTTTGATATGTTCATAACTTTTTCTTCGTACAATTCAGCACCCATGTTAAATTTGTGTAATATCATTTCTTGAATGGTAAAAGATTTAGCTAAGAAGTGAGGGGGATATGAACAAAGATGAAGGTGGTAGCAGCTGCAAGACTGGTGGCTCAGTGGCTTGTGTCTCAGAACTGGTTGAGCTTGGCAGTGGAGTATCAATGGAGGGCTTTATGACTGCATAGAACAGCACATTGTAGAAAATCGAGAAGATGAAGAGAACAACAGCAGAGTTTGCTAAAAAGGACTCTGAAAGTTCTGCCATTTCTCCTCTCATTTGATCTCTTGGAAGCTTTGTGCCTTCAACAACTGCAAAAGTTGTTTTTTTTAAAACACTCCAAATCAGCTTAAGAACAGTTTCTTTACACACCAATGCCAACAGCCCTTCTTGCTCTAAGCTACCATAAATCAAGAACTTCCATAGATTATAGTTTTGTTTTAGCTTTCAAGTTGACTAACAATTCAATGTTGTACCAATCCTCAAAAGGCTGATATGGGACTTTCATCCACCAACACCTCCCCTCGAACAATGTAACGCCTCCCCTTAATCGAGACTTGACTCCTTTTATTTTGGAGTCCTTTGTTCGATATTTGAGGATTCTATTGGCATGACTAAGTTTAGGCCATGACTCTGATACCATGTTAGATGAACACGACTCTCCACAATGGTATGATATTGTCCACTTTGAGCATAAGTTCTCATGGGTTTACTTTGGGCTTCCCCAAAAGGTCTCATATCAACGGGGAGATAATATTCTTTGATTATAAACTCATAATCATTCCTTAAATTAGGATACAGTGGGACTTTCATCCACCAACAAGTATCCATATTAGTAATCACAACCTTCCACAATGATATAATATTGTTCACTTCCAACATAAACTTTCATACCTATGTTACTTGTGAACTTATATCAACCACTTAATTAGTCGACCTCGATGATTTCACGGTTACTAATCATACCCAGTTCCTCAAAGTATTACAGAATTCAATCAAGACCATGTGCATCTAATCGGTTCAATCCATTCTTTAACCAAAGTGGCACAACAAATTTTGCTTGGAATTAGGATTGAAAAGTTGGGGGATTACCTTTCTTCTTGGGAGGGGTGGCTCGTTTTTTGGAGAAGGATTGAAGCTGCTGGTCGAGCTCTTGAAGGGCCTGCCTGGCCTTGTCTGGGTCGACCTCGAACTGCTGTGAGTCGGTCTCCTTTGAACACACAATACAGCGACGAGAAGCAGGGGAAGGAAATGGGTGAGCTTTCTTTGTCTTCAAAACATCGGAGCTTTTCTTGGTGGCTAACAATGGCGGGCGATGGTTTTGATTGAGGAGGGAGTGAAGGGAAAGCATCTGAGAGCTGCTGATTAACCACAGCCGCATGGGAACGCTTTCAGGATAATGTTATTTCGTTACCTAGAAGAAGCTCAAGAACTACTGATGTGAGGCAGTGTTTGGCAACCTGTATAGCTTAGTCTTGTTCGGAATACGGCTGTCCTCGATGCCACCTAGGACAATGAATATTGGTTAACTGGGACAAGGATTTGTAACGAACATTCCTCCGTCGGAAAGAGGGACACAAAATATTCTCCCTTAATAAAATATTAGTTTGATTGTACAATTGTGGTCAAAGGAATTATTTTTCTATTATTAAGCTAAATAATATATTATATATCTCGACCTGAATTTAAAGTTTGAAAGTTTAACGACTAAGATATTAAAAGTAAATCATATTCGATTTTTTTTTAGAATTGTTAGATTCTACATCGGTTGGTGAGTGAAATGAACCATTTTTTTTTTATAAAAGTGTGGAAACCTCTCCCTAAACACATGGTGAAACGTAGCGAACCAAAGCGGATAATATCTACTAGTATTGAGCTTAAGTGGTTATAAACAGTATCAAAGCCAGACACCGAATGGTGCGGCTGAATGGTAAAATCTCACATTAGTTGGAGAGGGGAACGAAACATTCTATATAAGAGTGTGAAAACATTTAAAAAATTGGAGCATGCTAACCCGCTATCACATAAATACCTGACAGTAAGAATCAAATAAACACCTGGGATAAGTGTTCCTCTGGCAAATGGTAAGAGCCTCAAGTGGTGTCAAAGAATCTGTGTATTGGTTCAAATGATTGCTCATTCGATGCTGAAATCAGCATTCATATAATAGCAGAGAATCATATTTGGAACCTGAAAAACTTTGATGAATATTAGCAACCAAATTATGGATCACATTTCAAGCCTTAACACACTCACAAGTACATAATAGTTGAGCATTCGAGATAGCAACATTGTTTTGAAACTAAAAAGAACACAGTTTGAAATCTATGGAGTCTGTTCTTTACACAAGGTAAAAATTTGGGAGGTTGATGGAATAAAAGCATTCCAAGGACTTAACTAGAACTAAGGTCCAAATGACTAACTTATATCATCCATCTCCTTTTCGTTTAGTTTAAGCAACAACCACAAGAACAAAGCCAAGAATGATTTGCCGCCTGACAGAAAACTGCCAGGGAACGTAGCCCCACAAATAACCACGGGGTACCCCATATTTTCGCAACCAGGTGGTTCACTTGATTGCAAGACGCCTCTGTGCGGCCTGATTTTCTGAGATACTTCCTCGTTGCTGTCCCGAGCAGTCTCCATCTTCACCTCTCTCGCCAGAGAGTAAAGCATATGAAGAAGCTTGGAAGCTACTGTAATTATGAAAATGGCTATTGCCATTCACATAACTACGAGCTTCATATGACTCATGCAACTGGGCTCTTGCTTCTTGTTGACTATTCGAGGAATTCCAGGTTTCAGTCAAGGCACCAGGCACAGCCTCAGAACCAGACGAACTAGACGATATAGCTTGACCAGAACCAGATTCCTTGTTCTTCATAGTAGAGCTCAAAGATTTAGCTTCATTTTTCTTGGCAAAACGTCCACCGGTACCCCTCGCCCGTCTCATGGCATGCTGGTGACGAGATTCATGAAGATATGGCTGATCAACATTACACACAAGCTAAATATTAGAGATACTTCAGAAAACATACAGAACCAACAACCAGCCAACCCTCAATGACATTTGATTTTTGAAATCTAACCCGGGCCAGTATAGAGCATTCAAAAACTAATATGAGTCAGCCAAGCCATATTTGTCTCAACGGGTAATGAACTAACTATTAAGAACTACATACAACAAGAAGAAATCGTGAAATTTCGAAGACCTGCTTCGCCTCAGTCGAATTCTACTTAAATTAGTGAGTCGACCATACACGGTCACCACATCACTCAACATGAAATGTTAAAAAGGCTCCGAGTTCAAGAATTAAAAGCTTTGAATCCAAATCAGCTGTATATATGGATACCATTTATGGTATACTTCCGTTGACCTCCAGTCTATATATGTTACTTCTCTCCTTTGAATATTTATAATTAAATTTGCAGCATAGGGAAGAATGAACTTCAAGAAAAATAAAATACAATTAAGAAAGTCGTTATAGATTCCCAGATACCTAAAACATATATAAGAGACAAGCCGTAGTACATCAAAGACAACTATCTGAATTCGGAATAGCAATTGTACCTTTCTAACTTTTATCAGTTTGTTCTCAACCTCTGCTTTAGCACGTGCTTGTCTTCGCCTTAGAATCCCTTGATACTGTTTGGCATTCACAAAAACTGGCTCCTGTGCCACCTCAAGGGGCAAAGCCATTCTAGCATGTGGCATCCCAATAAAAGGAGGATAACCCTACAATATGAAATACTTGTCAGGAGCAAACTTACAGGCATAATCACTCTAGAATCTCTTCCAAAAAAACTGGAAATTTTCAATTAGTTCACGTTCACCAGATACTCATATGTTATTTTACTTATGATAGTTTGAGAAAGTGAAAATCTGGACAAGGAACATAATAAAGTTCCTGGATAATTGAAAAGGTAAAAGCAAAAGAAAAAACATAAAAGTGGAGGAGGCAGAAAGGAAAAGTACCATCAAAATTATCCAGGGCTAGAATATATATATATATATAGCTAAAAATTAGTGTATATGGTGCAAAAATTACCAGTAAGATGTACATATATATGCATATTCATATCATCGCCTGATCTTTATAATTTTAACCTACATACCATAGGTTGATGCCCATATGCAGCCATAAGTCCAGCATAATAAGGATCCTGATATTGGTTTGATGCACATGCCTGAAAAAGATTCAACAAAAACTAGTAATTCCACAAAATTCAAAAGCATCTCAAATCTGATGCGTTTCAAAGAACCAATGTTGTTCAATAATCAAAAACTGGATTCCGAGAGCAAGAAGGATGCCTCTAAAGTAAGGAGGAAATCAACAAGACTATAGCAAGGGGCTTACAATAGAGTGGCCTACAAGTTCAAGCTGAGGAGGTTGTGTGATACATCCTCCATGCACTCTAGGTGCAGTAGAAACAGCATGCTGATTGTTGTGCTGACTTTGCCCATAACTTGCAGCTGAATTTGATAATAACATGTTCGTTAACAATCCAATAAGGTTAAATTATCCTAGTTGAGGGCCATACCTTGCGTTTCTTTCGTGGTGTCATCATCATCATCATCTTCATTCAAATCAGCATTTGACATTGACTGGCCATCATTAGATTCTGAGGCACCATTAGTACATTCCAGTGATGGTGAATTGGACACATTCCCTCCTGTTGCTGACGGATAGATAGGATTGTACCCAATACTACGCCACCAAGGTTCAGAATAACTACCAGTCTGCTGCATATTCGGTGGTTCAGATTCCACTTGATTCACACTTTTAGACTTTGACTGCATACCTTCTAAACAAATATATATACGTTAGAAAAGATAAAAGGATGGAGTCGCCTAGAATTCACATAATATGCAGAACCAATGTTGGATAAACAGAGAACCAGCCATCACCCTATGATAAAAGAATTGAAAAGAAGACATTAAAAGGAAAAGAGGAAAGATGTAGCATCCTTGGTTTAAAAAACCTAAGACATTTTCCAAGTTCATTATTCTTGAAGGAATAAAAAGGGAGGGAATAGTTTTCTGTCAGATGGAAGGGTGGTTCAATTTTTCTTGATACAAGAAAAGCTTAACATCAAGCAGCAGCAAGTGCCATCCTTAACCATTAACTGTGCTTTTTATTTCCTTCGATTTATGATCATCTAACCATTTCCCAGAGCATGCTTTAACTTAGTCCAATCCCTGTACAGAGCATTGCTCATTATTCTTTTGAACGAGGCTTAGGACCTTACAAAAGCAAAATGCTCTACACCTTTAAATTTCTTCAGGCCTTCCCAGCTAAGCTGATTACTTAACACCAATTATTGGGTTCTATGATACGGAAGACAGAAACCAAATAAGTTTCTATTTTGTGCTTGAAGAATTCTGGAATCGTGAATGCTCTATTTATGTCAGCTAAATCACATCTTGGAACTCCTAAACTTTTAATTTTGAAGAGATGCAAGTGTAGCATATTTAACAAACTCAAAAACAGAAAGCCAAGATCATCCATAATCTTTAATCCAAAACATAAACCAATTCCTGTAATGTTGAGAGGAGATCAATTGCAGGATAATATTGAGGAACCCTCCATAAACGCTCCAGACAATTATCAAATCATAATTCAGTATCTGAAATTAAAATCTTCTCCCCTCTCTACATAAGTTCTCTTTGACGTTTAAGCTGGGCATACCAGTGATCCACATGCAAGGGCAGGGGGTAACTAAAAGAGTTATATAGATTACGTTCACTTCAATATTCAGCTTGTTTTCTAGACGACTGACATTCCAACCTACTTTGCACGGCATCTAAATTAAACAAGAAAACAGAAAAACAATTTTCAGGACTGCGCCGCAAGTTGACTCAAACAATCCGAATTCGGCAATTCAGGATTGCGCGAACCATAATCCCCACATGCAGACAATAAATAGAACCAAATGCTATAAAAAAGTGGGATAGATAGCAGAAACAACAAAATACGACGGCGCGAGTTCATTTTTGAAAATACATGAGCAAAAATCGCCCGAACTCGTAACTACTAAATTCCCATCGAGATCCTAATTCCACTCTATTCTCTAAACAAAGAAAACCAACCAAGTGAACTCTAGTGATCCAAATTTCCAAATCCTAGTCGCATGAATTCAGAAAGCAAAGCTGGCCCAATTCCATGCAACGAGAACAATACTCGAACATAAAAAAACCAAAGGGAAGAGACTGAAAAGAACCGAATTAAGAAAACCCTAGAGTAAATTTAGGTATCGAAAAGAAGAGAGATGGGAACCAGAATCTCGCAAAATGAAGTTAGAGGAAAGATAGGAACTCACTTGGAGAGAAAATTGAGGAAATCCGAAGCGCTGGATTCAGGAAGAAGACGGTGGGAATCT